GGCCTTTCCCCTTCCCCCCCTTTTCCTCCCTCAGCTGTCTGCTGCTGTCGGTCTGCTCCATCCACTGACCCAGGAGAAGCCTGCTGGCTTGCACCTTGGAAGAACTGAAAAGCAAAGCAATGAAACAGGCACAAAAAGAAAGTGAGCAAAAAAAAAAGGAAACGAAATGTTAACTTTCCTACTAGACCAGCTGGAGCAGCCAAGCTTTGAAAGGGAGAGACTTCATGTGGTCAAAGAAATACATTTTAAAAAGCATCTAAATCCCTTGCTGGCAGCGTGCGGTGAGCCAGGGGCAGGTGCCAATGCTCCAGGTTTGGGTGCTCCCTTTCCCATGTGTTTGCCCCTCTCTGCAGGAGCCGTGTCCGTGCGATGGCTGCAGAGCCGTGGTGGCAAGTGGGTGGGTTTTCTCGGCCCGGCTGAGACGTGCATCCCCCTCAGCCCCCATCCCTTGCATTTACCAGCCCAGCCCCTGCTGCAGGATGGCCATGGAAGCCCTTCTGCCCTGAGCAAAGGACCCAAAAAGCCTCCCAATGCCTTAAAAGCAGGCCTGTACAATAAAAGATGAGCCACAATAAAACACTGATAAGCCAGGCTTAGCCGTCACCTTCTTTGGGGTTGCTCACACCAAACCTGCTTGAATGGTTGGACTGGATGATCTCTAAGGTCTTTTCCAACCTAGACATCTATGAAATCTATGAATCTCAGCCTTCTCTAAGAGTCTCATGCTTGTCATGGTAGAAGTCATACCAAAGCTGTTGCTTGTATATAAAAGTCATAGAATCATGGAATGGTTTGGGTTGGAAGAGACCTTAAAGATCATCTAGTTCCAACCCCCCTGCCATGGGCAGGGACACCCTCCACTACACCAGGTTGCTCAAAGCCTCATCCAGCCTGGCCTTGAACGCTTCCAGGGATGGGGCAGCCACAACTTCTCTGGGCAACCTGTGGCAGTGCCTCACCACCCTCGATGCAAAAAATTTCTTCCTTATATCCAATCTAAATCTCCCCTCTTTCAGTTTAAAGCCATTGCCCCTTGTCCTGTCACTACACACCCTTGTAAAAAGTCCCTCTCCAGCTTTCCTGTAGGCCCCGTTTAAGTACTGGAAGGCTGCAATAAGTTTGTTTCCTTGTCTGCCCAGGGTTGGTGCTCTGTAAGATCTGTTCCCTTCCTCGTTTCGCTGCTGGGAATTTGTGTTATTTATTACTGGGGATGTGAGCACTGGCTTTCGCTCCTGCAGGAAACATCCAGAAGATTACCCCCTTGAGACAGGAATAAAATCACTTACCTACCATAAAGGCTAGCATAACGTTTATAAAGCCAAAACTGTAGTCTTTGAATATTTCATGACATTTTAGGCAAATTTTCTCTCCAGCTCGGGTCAGCGGTGGCTGGATGGCACACCAGGGCAGGCACACGTGCATTTCCATCCCGTTTCCTTCTGCCAGCTCCTGCAGCTTGCCTTTGCCCACGTGTTGGATTCAACAGATGGATGTTGAATTCGAGCAGGAGCTTAGGTGTCTTCTGTAACAGTTGCTTTTCTTGCCAGGGAGCCCCGTTCTGCGACCCGAGCCCGTCGCTGCGCGTTGCTGCTGGCATTGCTGCTGCCAGCGGGCACAGAGGTTTCCGCGGTGCCCCTGCCCCTTGTCTTCTGCTGGTGGCTTCACTCACATGCACAGGCTTCATCCATCCTGGAAGGTAAACCACCGAGCTGTGAGGCTGCTCATTAGGGATTAAGGCGACTCTTTGAGGGCAAAAAGGGATGAATGTTCTAAAAATAAAGACCTTCGTTTGTTAGCTGTCTGTGTTTGTGTCGTCGTCGGTGTGTGCGTTGGGTATTTGCAAGCTTTGAATGTCAAATATTTACTAAGTCATGTCTAAGTGTCACAATGATGCTTTTATTAACTCCACTGCATAGTCTGTTCCTGTCTTCTGCAAAGGATAGATCTTCTCTCTTGCAGGCAAGGTCTGAAGTTTCACTTTCTTTCATGTAGTCTTATTTTGGATAGATATATTTTCACTTCAAGCACAGGAGGAAAATAACTGCAGGGCTCTCTGAAGGCCAGGTTACCTGAGCAGACCTAAGGATGTTCCTGCAAAACTAACAAAAAACCAGGCCTGAACTCTTGTCTTTTTGCAATAGTGAGATATCTGGATATATTTTTCAGATCTTGTCTAGCTAGTCAGGCTGTCTTGATTAATGGAAAGGAAGATTCCAGAGTAAGCGTAAGGCTTGCTTTGTCTGAGTTTGCAGAATATTCCTGTAAAACATCCCTAGGCTGGGATGCTGGGCAGAGGGGCTGCTCTGGCTAAACCTTGGATTACTGTCCTAATCTGGTGTTACTCTTCTCTCCTGGTCCTGTTGAAAGTCACAGACTCATCTCCTGCATTTAAAGTCAGCCTGACAAATTAGAGAACAACCTTTTATCTAATTGCAGGGCAGACTGGATAAAGCAATCACCTCTGTGGGGGGGTGTGTGACAACCATTTGTGGGTGATTGTAAGCAGCCCATCACTTGTCCTCATAAATATCAATATTAACTGGTGTTCTGGGTAGATTCCAGTTGGGGTAGCTCTGGCTGTGCCCCAGCTAGAGGAGGTGGCATTTTGAGATCCGGCACAAGTAATTAGAAGGTAAAAGATTAATTGACTTTGAGTACATGGGCTGGGCGGGATCTCTAATCCTGCATGAGTCAGATCTTCCTGTCGCTCCCTGCTCTTGGTGTGTCCCTTGGACAGTATGAAATTGCTACAGCCACTTTAATGGTCTGTGCCAGGAAGCCTGTCATCTCTTCATTACAATCGTAATCTCGTTGTTGACCTGTCGAAGATCTGAACATGCCCATGCTCACATCCTCACTCTGATATCAGCTGTGGATATCTGTGCTTATGGATTAAAAATACCTCCTTCCATAAGCGTTGCTGGAAAATTTATTGTTTCATTGACATACCTACTTGCTACAAAGTTTATTCATTTGAATAATCGTAAAGATAGGAGGAGGAGTGAATGTGGATCAAATCAGTATTGTTTTTTGGATGAATAGTCACAAGTAGGTCTAGTTATTGCAGAATTCTTTCTTTCTTCTTAGCAGAGTGGCTCATCTACGAGATCTTCATTTCCGACAGGCAAAGGTGCTCTAAGTTAAAGTTTCCCTCTAAAGAAGGCGACTGTGTTTTGTGGGGGTCTGGAAGGAATTGCCCATCGAACGGCAGGGCCAGCCAGTTTTGCAGCTGCTCTGGGATGCACCCAGTTGCTGGAGAAGGGTGTCACCTTCCTTTTAAAACCACACCGTTCCATCCACTATCTGTTTCATCTCCTCGTGCTCTTTCACAACGCTGCATGAGTACAGCCAGCCTTGTGATTAATCCTACTCATTCTGATACCGGTTTACCATGGGAAATTTTCTTAAAATGAGCAGTTCTTAACAATAGTTGGGTTTTTTTTTTTTTTTGTTTTCTCCTATATACATTGACCATACAGATTCAGCCTTTATTCCTGCTCTCAATGGAAACAAGTTTGAAAGTGTAGGTCTCACAGATACCTGATTTTTCATGTTTTATCTGTTAATCACATATACTCAGTGTTCAGAAACTCCATTTTTGTCTAGAGAATGTCGGTAAATTATTCCAGCAAAATGTTTGTTATCTCCCGTTGTGGATGGAGCAGGAATCTCAGGATGCAGAGCATGGTGTCTGAGATCCGTGGGGGTGATTAAGGCTTAGGGCCAGGATGTTTGTACTTCATCTTTGGATGGTGCAGGCTGTAAAACCATCCTTGGCAGAGCTATTGGGAGCACTTGGAGTGCCCTCTTGTGATGAGCCTCTGGCTGAAGCAGCAGTTCTCCACGTTTTCTGAAGCCTCCTGTGTTATCCTTCTCCATCCCACCTTCTGCCCCCTCATCCCTGTTTCTTCACAGCTGCGCCTGCCCACATGGAAACCTCCTTCTTTGTCTTTCAGCTCTGCTTGTAAAAATATGCTACATGTCATCACGAGGTCTGGCATATGGCAGAGCTTGTCATTACATTTGGAGTCCAAACCAGGCTCTGTTGCCTCCTTGCAAACAGCAGCCACTGCTGTAGAAATCGTTCCCACTGAGGCACGTTCTGCTCTTTCTCCTTTTTCAAGTCCTGCTATGAGAGATGGAAAGGAGGTTATTCTGCTCCTGCCCTAATCAGAAGATCTAAGAACCACAATGTATTTATAATTATAATTTAGTGTTATTATACATTCCCTTGTATGAGGTTGGACGAGGCCCTGAGCAACCTGATCTAGTTGGAGATATCCCTGTTCCTTGCAGGGGGGTTGGACTAGATGACCTTTGAAGGTCCCTTCCAGCCCTAACCATTCTATGATTCTATGATTCTATGATTCTATGATTCTATGATTCTATGATTCCAGGAGGTGGAGAGGTTTGTTCAGAGGACCTGCAGGGGAAATAAGGATAAATGAGTGTGGGAGAAAGATGGATGATGGTTTGGCAGGTGGGAGCATAACCCCGCAGCCCATGAGATACTCTCACTTAGGAAAGTCCCGTAACAGAGCTGTGGCAGGGCCAAAAGATGCTCTTCCTGCGGGTGGTTACGCTTTTTTGGGAGATGCAAACGCGATGTGCATCTCACTGCCTCTGCAGCTCATCTCTGAGCGTGCTGAGGTGTGAAGTGTGCCCCACACCATGATGTTTTTCTCACACCTCCAGCGTGCTGAGGTGTGAAGTGAGCCCCACACCATGATGTTTTTCTCACACCTCCTCTTGCCTGTTGTTAAATGGAGAGTTGCGTTTCTAGGACGGTTAATTTTCACCTTGCATGGGCATTAAGTGTCTGTTCCAAAGAAATCAGTGGGAATCTTTCCTCTGACTTTAATGTCCATCCAGAGTCACTTGCATCTAGTTTGCATGTCAGAAAAAATAATTCTCTTCTCCTTCATTGCTTTTTAATTTTGTAAATAACTATAAACGCCTGACGCTGCACACACCGACCATTTTATTCCCAGATTTTTTGCTTCCTGTCAAGATTTTAAGGTTGCAGAATGTGGCTCTTTAAAACACCGTGGCTTAAGTGTTGTAACCCTGCTTTATTGCAGAACATGTATTTGCCAGAGCAAGGAAGAATTTGGGCTGAAGGCAAGTAGGTATTTCCATTTCCTTATTTCCAAGGGGTGTTGCAATACTTCCCGATGTAAAATTACCTGCGAAGGAGTTTGCGTCACTGTGTGTCAACATCATGCCACGGAGGAGCAGGACAAGATTCCCTGCTGAATAAAATTTGCTGTTGTGGAGATCTATAAGCCCTTTGTCTCACAAGATGCTTATTAACTTGGGTAGTTTCAGGCTGGCAGGATTTCACAATATTAAAATAGATAATGATTGCAGCGTTTATTGTGGAATAATAAGCTTAGGAAAAAAGCTGTAGGTAATGCAAAGCACTTTGCCTTGGACAAGCTGTGTCTGACAGTGAGACATTGCCATCTCTTGGGCAGGTGCAGCTAGAACGTAGACTTTGATTACAACCTACAGCAATTAAAAGCCCAATAGTGTAGTTGAGGACTTGGAAAGGGCTGAGTCTGCCACTGAATCCAGTATCCCGGTGTTTTAGTTGATGCTATCCATATCTTAATACTGGCAAGGGCACAATCCGACTCAGAAATCAGAAACATGGCTTTTCCTCTCTTTGTGTAAAAATGGTTTAGTTACCAGGTTGATATCCCTTAAATATTACAAGCTGTGAGTAATTTCTTCTCAGATTACGAGACTGGAAAAGTTTAAATATAATTATATTTGGGATTATTGTCATTTACCTCCTGGAGTCTGCGCCTCTTTAACACAAGGCTTAGAGCTGACTTTTTAAATGAGATCTGCAATTTTCTGCAATCACAGGGTTTTAAGAGATTAAGCTTTAAGAGTACTAAATATCCTAAGTCTCATGGCAAAACTGTGAGGGTTGGCAGTATTGATGCCTGACTTGCTTCTTGATATTACATCTCCTTTTTTAAAAGGAAGGTACATAGTTCCTGCTTTTAATTAAATTCTGTCTTTCAGAAGGGAAAGTGGCAGGTGGATGGAGCTAGAGAGACCCTCTGCGAAGTAATTAGATGAAACCTGATAATATTTGGCTTAATCCACAGTGCTGGCATAAAGGTTCTTAGAAAACAACACCTGCCCTTTGCTGATTAATAGGTGGCTGCTGTGTTAGTGATCCTGGCATACACCATAGGTGAATGTTGCCTGTTCTGATAGTAAAAAAAACCCACCAATTTTCTAAAACTTGGCAGTAAGCCAAGTCAGTTTTATTTGTCCACAGAACTTTATGGTAATTTTACATATATGAGAGTAATTGCACCCGATCCAAGTGCAATAGCAGCTGTATGGCCAAACCTTTCCTGGTTTGTAAAGGAAAAATATAAAAAAAATTGAATATTAGAGTGTGAATTTTTAAACAATGGCAGTGCAGAATTTTTGGCCAACTTTGGGGCTTTAGGAATTTGGCTTCCATGGGCCTGTAGGACCTGTGCAAAGGAAAACGTGAGAAACTGCTCATTTCCTGAAAGAGCCTCAAAGGTGGGTGACTGCACCGCATCGGTGGAGCTGCCACGTCTGGCGTCCAAGCGAGGGTGCTACAGGGGTGTGCGCTGGAAGGAGAAGGCATTGGCATGAGGGGATGTACCCCTAAAAACTTTGGGGAAGGTGAATATATGGGAT